GATCCGGCCCCGTCAAAATAGCCGTGTACAACGTCACGGCTGCACTTGGCCCTTCCCTCTTTAATGGTGCGAATGGCTATATAGGTAACTCCGTAGGCGGCCCTGCAAGTTTTGGCGGCCCGGTTGTGCAGGGCCGGCAAAAACGGGGCGGCTATGCGCATAATAGCGGAAAAAAACACTCCGCTTTCCGCTAAATGGCGGCAGTTGAGGCCACCCAGTGTTCCCCGCGGGCGCAGCCAGCGGGCACGCATGCGCATAACGATAATTTCTCTTCTCAGTGTGCAAGGACGATGAATTTCGAACGTACGAAGTACGAATCTAATCGGAAGCATCTCCGTGTGACATTTGTTTTCTTATCAGGGTGGTGTAAGCCTATGTTAGAGAATGTGCCGAAGCCGCGGGACAGTGTGTTTGTTCTTCATGATGATCACGTCGAAGGATACCAAAGGAATTCGACGCGGGCGGTGTAACCATGAGGAAACATGTGAATGCGATGGGTTCACACGGCCCGCTGATCTGGCGGCACGACCACCACTACTGAGCCAACTTGGCTGGTGCCGTTACTGCGGGCACAGTCCTCTTCAGCATAACCGACTGGGTAATTATGTAGCTCACTGGGCAATAACAGATTAGAGTCAATTGCTGAAAGAGTTCCTAACTAGTAATTTTTGTTCTCGCCAACAGAGGACAAGTAGAACCCGGTCGTGAACGATACAAGTATCTATACACAATATTTTTGTATTCTAAGAAGACACGTTTGGAATCGCCTCTTTTCATATTATTCGGATACCGGCTGGTGTCGACGGTGAAAAGCGGAAAACAGGTTTACTTCGTTTCACTTTATCAGGGCCTTACCATAACGGCTACAAACGCGGACTCTTCGCATTTCACGCCGGCTCGGCTGTGCACAAGCACTCGTGGTGGGTGACATTTTTTAAAGTTATCGGGTCACAGTCGCAGCCCTTACACCTAAGGTAAGGTGAGGCAAAGAAAGCTAGCCGGCTATGCCTCGACGGTGGCCACCAGCATTGTACAGCGACAAAATGTAAATAGTTTATAGGGGGTACTTTTCTCTTGCCGAAGTGTCCGCCAATAGAGCACGGCGTATACGGCGCACTTATCAGCTTGCCGTCCGTGGTATATAGTCGCGCGTCTCGGCCGGCGTCAACGATCGCGTTGAGCAAAGGAGGACGGCCACACAAGCAACATTTATACTAAAAATGATGATGAATGTAACATCTAGAATACACTAAGTTTGCCCGTGTGCGTGCGCACTCGTTTGCTCACGCGGCCATCGACGGCGGCCGAAACGTTCTTTTTGTGTGAACGAGTTTATAAGATTTTATTGGGCTAACTGAATTTTAGAAATGTATTGTATTAAACAATATTTCTGAAAAAATGTCAAAATATCTGTTTTACAATATTTTACTCAGTTTAGCAAGGTCTTTAGCCCGACCTGACCATATTTTTAAATTTAGTAATTACAGAAAGTTAATTATTCAAAATTTTTGACACCAAAAGTTATTTGAACGTCAAACTTTATGAATTTTCATATTAAACAAAATTACCTTTTTATGTGCAACGTGTAGTTTTTCTAGCAACAATTTAACCGGCGTTTCATGACGCAGCCTGTGTGATATAGCCATGGACCTGTAGATCCTGGCAAGTGGACAGCCTCAGCTCCCCTGCCTGGTGGCGTCAAAATTTACTGTTTTGTTCCCACTCTTCAAACTGCCACCAAAGCTATAGGCTCTATCCATATGACGTGAGACTGCTTTTTAATGTCGAGTAACTACAAACAAGCATGGCCGCCCAAAACAAATGCGGTTATCTAATTGTCGAATTTATTTTGCTTTCTTTTGTTCTCCGTAGAGCATATGAATAAATGTTATGTTAGCGGCCATGTTTCTCGCCGATAACTCAGCATCTGAATAGACTCTAACGTCTAGCAAACTACTTTCTAAAAAACAGCTGTTTGATAAATTTTATAACGTAATTAACATACAAGACATGTTATCTGCCCCTTAATCTCTTATAATAAATGCTGAAAATTCTTAATCGCAGCAGCAACATGCCTTGACGACAGAGGCAACTGGCATTCAGACGTGCCGCGGAGACCCGTCTTGTGGCACGAAGCTCTGGCTGACTGCAACACACTTGGCTCGAATAGCGCACCTTCAACTGCGGCGGGTCCTAGTTCCCCAAGCGTGTCAAGTGAAAGCAACGACCATGCTTCCACCAATGTTTCAGCAAGTGACGCAAGTTTTCATATACTTTTCTATTTTATTGTTTGAATGTGGTATTTATTACGAAAAAGCACCACCTGAATCTTCAGCTGTGCATCTAATTTAAACAAATATATGAATTGTTTACCTGCGGACCCACTGTTATTTTAAATGTTTAGAAACCATCGGCATTGCCCTTGAAACAATTCCTGTAAATTTACTTTCCCCTAGAGCACTCGGGAAGTCAATTTCTAAAGTATACAAATTGAGCTTGGCGATGCTTTTCCAAAATATTTTGAGACTCAAAAATAAAGTTGCGACGTGACTATGTGCATGACGTCTTACAATAGGACGTCAGGCTCACTGCCACGTCATAGCTTTATTTTTACGGGGAAATTTTTCTTTACTTCTCAATCCCCTGGCTTTCTTCGTGAATCACAGTCCTGGACCCTCCGAGATACTCTGCGAGGGAGTGGGCGACGGGACATTTTTATAGCCAGCAGAAAACGGGCCACCTAGAAGACAGGGCAGCTAGAAAACGGGCCAGCTAGAAAACGGGCCAGCTAAAAAACGGGCCGCAAAGATTCAACTTGTCACGGCAAATTTATGGACCCCTAAAAAGGGACGGCAAACGGGCTGGCGATTTGAGGTGGCCCCGAAATTCGCCGTGACAAGTTGGATCTCATTTGTCATGGCTATAGTTGGTTCCCTAGGTGGCCCCAGATTAAGAGTGTACAGCCCGTGAATGTTTATATACACATAAGATGAAATTAGAGAGGGTAAAGAGCAATAGGAGATGAAAATAACATTGTCAAATCAGATAGTAGTACACATAGAGGAGAGGGGGAGCCAAAGCTTACGAGTGCTGAACAAAAAATGCTGACAAAAAGCTAAAAATATAAAAAAACGGGGCCCGGGTATAGAAACGGTTTGGCGGGGGAGGGGGGGGGGGGGATATTCCATGCACGCAAAACGAAAAATTCGGAAAACAAATTGGACTGAACATTTACGCTTTCAGAACACAAGTAAAAAAAAGTGGAAAGCTTTAAAGCAAAAAACAAAAACACGCACAAAAAAAGGTGTGCCCGAAAGTTTCTGGTTAGGAAGGGGTGGCTTGTCTTTAAAGCAGATATAGGTTATATGTGACCTCCGACGCGACCGAATCCCGAGACATTCCTTGTGCTAAAAGATAGAAGTTTGAGGTGGATTAAAAGTTTGGGGGATTTTTCTTTGAATAAAGAGTGATAGGATGTAACGTTCTATGCCCTCTTGAGATTAACCCCTTGAGCCGCATTTATCTGTTTTGGAGGTTTGCTTCCTACAGAACGTATTAGAATGTGGTTTAATTATTGGTTGTTAAAGTTGAAGATCTCGTAGTGGTATGTGAATATATCCCTTGGTAGCTTATAGATCCCTTCCAGAAATCACCTTCTGCGAGCTGTCATCTTTGTCTGCTAGGCTATCGAACGCCTTCTGAATATGCGCAGTCGCTGTGTCGTGCGGTATAGCACACACTGCGCAGGCGTCCACAGTTCGGTGACTAGGCAATTTTAGCACGGGTGATAACCACTGCAAAAATCTATACGCACAAAACACTTACAGGTGTTCAGTCTCGCGGTTGTTTTAATTTTGACAATCATTAGGGAAACTAGATATTAAAGGCGACCAGTAAGTACAACATATCATTGCAAAGTAAAACTCAGATCCCCAGCTAACAAACGACGCTATAGGCAACGCTGTGTCCGTGAAGACCTGCAGGCTTAAAAGAAACGAATAATAATTGTTCAAACTGAGCTGCCCATATTATTGTTTTAATTCATTGGCTTCAGGTTCAGGTATTAGTTGTGTGTTATTTTAAAATATAAGGCCTTTTGGTGATGTTTTCTATTCGCTTCTCAATGGATGAAGTGACAAAGCTTAGGATAAATCGTATTTTTATTCGTGCGTTTTGCATATCTTCTGCAATTTTACATACACGTTTTATATCTAGTTTTTATCTCATGTAACGTTATATTTTTGTTTAATTATGCATGTGTAAAATGATCAAATTTATTTCTTGGGTTTACGAAAATTAAGCACAGTGATTATTTTTGCTCTAAATAAAAATGTGCAATAAATTAAAAATTTTTCTTGTGATCCTGATGTTTGTATTCCTCAGCAAACTTTGGTTTTTCGTGCCCTCATAAAGCCAGTTGTTTGCGGTGCACACAAGTGACATTTTTGAGAAAATTTATTTCAATTTGCATCGGAAGATCTTATTACAAGATTAGTAGGTAGCATCATTAAACTTTGGCCGAAGTTTATGTGCTCTACACTCATATTACATTAAATCACAATGAGTATAGGACCTTTATGGATATGCCATGACTAATTTATATATTTTTGGGCTAACATTTGTTAAATTTAACTTTACAAAAATTGGGTAAACCATTCTTTTTATACTTTAACACTCATTGTCAAAAACGAAAATGTCTCACCATGATTAAGTCTGGTACTTGCGGCAACCTGAAGCTCCTGCGTACACAGACAAAGCGGTCGTTGACACCGCCTCCACCGCCCATTCCACCGCCACCACCTCCTTGGTTTCCGCCACCGTTTCCACCCCCATTTCCACCTCCATTCCCACCCCCGTTTCCACCACCGCCATTTCCCCCGTTGCCACCCCCGTTTCCACCTTCATTGCCACCGCCATTACCGCCTCCGTTACCCCCACCGCCATTTCCCCCGTTTCCACCCCCCATACCGCCACCTCCTCCCATACAATCTCCACCGCCACTACCCCCTCCCATATTGCCACCCCCCTCCTCCCATGTTCCCACCACCTTCTCCCATATCTCCACCTCCTCCTCCTCCCATGCCTCCGCCGCCTCCTCCTCCCGTGTCGCACCCACCACAGCATTCACACCCATTATCCCCTCCACCGCCGCCTCCCATGCCCCCACCCCCTCCTCCCGCATCCCCACCATCTCCTCCTCCCATGCCACCCCCACCTCCTTCACCTCCCATTTCACCCTCACCCCCGTCTCCTCCACCCATGTTACACCCACCTCCGTCCCCTCCTCCAATGCCCCCTCCGCCACCACCTCCCATGTCCCCACCACCTCCCATGCCTCCCCCTCCCCCGTCCCCACCGTCCCCTCCGTCTCCACCGTTCCCTCCGTCTCCTCCGTCACCACCCTCAATGTCTCCTTCATCACTTTCTCCTCCCATGTCGCAAGGACAACCACCTCCCCCATTTCCTCCATTTCCTCCATTTCCTCCGTTTCCTCCGTCTCCTCCCTTTCCACCGGATCCTCCACCTACTCCTCCACTGTTGCCTCCTCCTCCGCCGGTTCCTCCACCCATGTCTCCTCCTCCACCCATTCCGCCCGATCCACCTCCACCTGGGCAGGGCTTATGATGAGCTGAAAAGAAAAGCAAACACTGTCAAAAGAAGGAGGTAAGAATGCATATAGAAAGAAGCTAAAATATACATAAGGTTGACTGCTCCTGATGAGCAGTAGTTTCAGAAAAGGGGACCTGGCAAAAATTTGCTGCCCTGTTTTTGCAAGAGACGTTAAACCTACTTGTTGTGTTTCTAAAGCAATGGAGTAATCGTAGTCATTACGAATAAATCTTTAGTACACATAAAAACAACTATTTACAATCAAGTCGATTCCCGTATCCCCAGACGGCAGCGTTCGGCTGGCTCGCTGGTTCGCGTCGGTCAGCTCGAGCAAGCTTCTTCCTCGTCGTTCCGTGTGTCTACTCTTGGACACAACACTCCCTCAGACTAATCACAGTATATATCGGGACACCGGCTTGCGTGCTCTCGAGGTGTATTGGCGTTCCGCGCTTTCAGACTTTGTTCAGGCGCTCGGAAAGGAGACAGTTGCTTTTAAATCTGGTTTCTCATGTTCCGCTAGATTATCTTGCTCCTGTTTGGGAATGAAGAGGGTATCTGACACGCATTCCCTGGTGCCTGCAACTTGGTTTGGTCGGCGACGAAATTTGTCAAGGTGTCGTTTCTACACTCCGTTCGGCACCTTAACTTTATGGTGCGCTCTCCCAAAATACTTCGGAATTGTGCCCGGAATGCAACATCTCTTTTGATTTCGGTAATCTCGCACTAAGACACCATCTCCTTCTTCGAACTTACATTTCGGTTATTTCTGAGCTTGAACCTCCAATAACTTCTCTGGGTGAAGGAGATCCAATGTTGTTCTAAGTCTTAGCTTTAACAACAGTTTGGATGGTGCGAAACTAGTGGATGTGTGTGTGGTGTGCAAGGATAAGCCATCAAATCTCGATAAAACTTTGTTTGTGCAACGAGTGCGGAAACAGACCCTTCGGACTGTTTCCGCACTCCTTGTTTGAGCATTTGTATTGCCCGTTCGGGCTGCACTATCCGTTGCAGGATAATACGAAGCGAAAAACTTGTGTTGGATATTATTTCCCCTTAAAAAGTCTTCGAACAATTTAGGGTGGAAGGGAGGTCCATTGTCCGAGACAATAGTTCGCGGCTGTCCATGCTGTGTGAACAGCTTCCGCAACGTTTCCACGACTTTCTTCGCAATCGTGCTCGACATTATTTCCACTTCTACGTACTTAGAAAAGGCATCGGTGACAAGTAGAAACTTTGCTCCTAGAAACGCGCCAGCCAATTCTATTTACAGACTTTCCCAGGGTTGTTCAGGCTTCGGTCAGTGGGAATGCTCTTGAAATGGCTGGTTCCGATGTTTCTGACACAGAGAACACTGTTCGACACTTGTGGCATTGTCATTGTTAATGTTAGGCCACCAAGCATGCAGTCTTGCCAGACACTTCAGGCGCACAATGCCGTGCAGTACCCTTCCTCAGCATGCTTCTGAAATAACAGCTCTTCGGCCATACAATAAGCATTCTCCCTCAACCGTAAGTGCCCACTTCCTCTTGGAATATGCTTCCATACCTCGACTTACTTTTTCAGGCCATCCGGTGTGAGTAAATTTCAGTGCCTTGCAGTACAGTTGGTATTTAACTCCTGCCTCCTGTAGAGTCTTCAAGTCCACTGGATACAGCTCTAACTGTCCCAAGTAGATACCTGCTCCTTGTCCTTCTGTTGTTAGGCGAGATATGGAATCTGCGTTGAGATTGCCTTCTGATTTCTTGCAGATCGCTGTTTTGATATGCTGACAAAAGCATTGCCCAACATTGCAGTCTTGGAGCTGCTATCGTTGAAATGCCTTTCTTAGGTCCAAGGATGGTTGCCAACGGCTTGTCGGTTACAAAGACGAATTGACGTTCATATATGTAGTCGCGGAATCTCTTCACTCCGAAGACTAATGCTAGAGTTTTCTTCTTTAGTTGAGCATAGATCTCTTCTCCTCGAACAAGTGTCATTGATGTATAAGCAATGGGACGATCTGGCTTGTCCAAGTACACGTGCGCTAACACGGCTCCAACTCCAACTGGGGAAGCGCCGCAAGACATAATCAAAGGTAACTCTGAATCGTAGTAAGCCAACACTGTGGCTCTGTTCGAAATTCGCTTCGGTTCTTGGAATCTCATGTCGCACTATGATGAGCAGTTCCACTACACGTCTTCATGCATCAGAAGAGTGGGCGGCTTTAGTAAAGTAGACAACTTGGGCACGAAAATTTCGTAATAGTTTACGACTCCAAGGAAAGATCGTTGCTTGCTCACATTCTCGGGAACTAGTGCCTCCTGTACAGCCTGTACCTTTTTGCTCATTGTGCGTAATCCGGAACCACTGAATATACCAGGTAGTCCACCTTGTCTTGCATGAACAGGCCCTTCCTTTCGGCTAACCGAAGTCGATGATGCTTCATCCGCGTTAGTACGTCGTGCAATCGTTTAAGTGCGTTGTGTAGTCCTGTGCGGTTACCAAAGCGTCGTCCAGGAAAACGCAGATACCTGGAGTCCCTTTTAGCAGTACCTCCATCTGTTTCTGGAAGACAGCAGGGGCTCAGGTGATCCCATAGGGTAGACGCTTGTGTCTGTATAGTTTCTTATGTGTGTTTTTGGTCACATGCTGGCGAGGCTTCTCAATCAACACCAGTTGCTCGTAGGCCTATCCTAAATCCAAATTTGTGAACTTCTGCCCACTGTTGAAAGTCGTGAACAAGTCATTCTGTTGGCAGAACGTTCTGGTTCTCTTTAAGTTGTTAATTCACCGTAAGCTTGTAGTCGCCACATATCCGGACCTTCCTTTCTCCTTTTGGAATGTTGAATGTTGGCGCTGCCCACTCACTGTATTTCATTCGCTCGATAACGTCTCTTTTTTCATGTCATCCAACTGTGCTTTGATCAGATGCTGGAATGCATAGGAAAATGTTCGGCTTTTCATAAACTTTGGTGGGGTGTCTGGCTTCAGCTGCAGATTGACTTCAACTCTTTTAAACCACCCTAGTTCCTCTTTGAAACGTTAGTGACACTCAGCCAGGACACCCTCCAAGTAATGCGTATCGTTCACAGTATTCGTCTTGAGTGCTTGCATCCATGTCTTGTCCAGGACTTGTACCCAATTTCATCCCAACAAAGGTTACACATCAGCGTTTACCACAACTTGTGGTAGACGCTGATGTCACGAGTGTCACGAGCGACCAGGTCTTTTGGTTGCTCGTGACATAGACGTCAGCAGTACCACAGACGTTCAAGCTATGTCCTGAGCAAGTGCGAGGCTTGGTCTTGAGAGGCTCTAGTGTACGAATCTTCAGTTTTCATTGCAGCCACTCTGGAATCACTGTCACGGTAGTTCCGGTATCCACCTCTATTTCCAGGGTCACATCCTTAACAAAGACGCATTTCTTGAGGAGTGGTAGAGTCAGTAATTCCGCGTTTGTCTGGAGGACTAAATATTATTCCGTTCTCTCTTCCTCTTTCGCCTGTTGCACGGCTCCCTTTCTTTTCTTGGCTGGTCCCTTGCGTTTGCCATTTCCTTGCTGACTTGACGTTTTCGCTCCTCTTTGTCGCACGCTGCTATTTTTTCAGGGATTCCGCAGGTGACCCTTCTGTCCACATGCTTCACATTCGTTGCCTTTGTAGCGGCAGTTTCGAGGATTGTGGTTGGTTTTGAAACAACGCCAGCAGGCAGCACTTGTACCTTGCTAGTTGTTTCATTTTTTCTTCAGTGGTGGTGCGTGCATCCTTGAAAATTTTCATTTGATCCTCAGCCGCTTCCGGTCCCGCTACCGATTCCACAGTTCGCGTCTGAGTCAAATTTTCAATTGTTAGGCACTTCTTGTGAGCCATCCTGTGATTGAGACCACAAGCAAATCGAACGCGGAGTTGCTCCTCGAGTTCGTCTCCCTACCGACAGGTATCCCGCCAGCCGTCTTAGTTCCGCCAGACACGTAGTTGATGGTCCACCTGAGCTTTGATCCCGCTTTCCAAATTTGAAGTGTTCGGCAATCACTACCAGCATTGGCGAGTAGAATCGACTGAGGAATAGTACGAGCTCTTCATGTGTACTTTTGCTCGGTTGCTCAGGAGACGACAGAGCCCGAAGACTGGAGTGAGTTTTCTGTCCGATAACATTTATCAGCACAAAAACGTTCATCCGATTTGTCTTGATTTTCTTTTCTTGCAACTCGAAATACTCTTGAAAGCGTTCTTCGTACTCGTCCTAGCTTGTCCCTTTCTCATAAGGTTCAATCCAACACAATAGGTTGTCCGTGATGCACAGTACCTCTTTCGGTCGATTCTTGCCTTGGTAGACCAGGTCGATGTTCACTCCTTGTCGCCACTTTGTGATGTTTCTAAGGCCATGGAGTAATCGCAGTCGTTACGAATAAACCTTTAGTACACATAGAAACAACTATTTCCAACCAGGGTAATTCCGGTATCGGCAGACGGCACCGTTCGGCTGGCTCGCGTAGGTCAGCTTGAGATAGGTTCTTTTCGTCGTTGCGTATGTATACTCTTGGACATAACACTACTGACTGTGGACGACCCCTTTCTTCTAAGGGACTCCAACCAACCTATCAGGCGTTTAATCGAACATAACGACGAAAGCTTCAACGCATGCTCTTTGAACATCAAAGCTTTGTTTTCTTCGCTTCCCCAAGGGAAATTGCTCTTCTGCGTCGAGGAATGCATAGATAGATCGGTCAGTAGCTTTGCAGAATGAGAAATGCAAGTCAGTCGAGGGTTCCCTCGAATTAATATTCCTTCAATTTAGATCAACATTTGCCTTACGGGAACAGAGCACGTTTTTTGCAAAGGAAGGGCCCCATTCTCAGCGACATAAACCTCGCACATCAAGACGGAGATCTTTTTTTCGGCTTTTAAATGGTTTAAATGTGGTAAAAGGTTTTTTCCTACGCTGACTACTATCTCGTGATTTTAGATATTACCAAGTATGAATTGATCCACTTGGTGTC